GAGTTATATCCTTTATAATAAAATTGTTATAATAAGTATAGAACTTCCCTGAGTTCTGTGAGTCATCCTAGAGAATTACTGAATCTGATCAAGGAGTTGTGGGATCCCTTGAGTTTGTAGTTGTCGGGCACAAGGGCAGGTAGCCTGGGGACTCCATTTGTGGCTAGTGTCACAAGTGGGGGCAGTCTTATGGGACTGAACCTTTAACCTTTGAGATCCTAAGTTCAGGTCTCAGCTCTGCCATTTATTAGCTGTGTGATCTTGATAAGCAGCCCAATCTCTCTGAACATCAGTTTTGCTATCTGTGTAATAAGGATCATAGTAGTAAATATGTTAGGGTTGCTCTGAGGCTTGTATGAAATGATGCAGTAAAGCACTAAGCACAGTATCTGACACATTAAAAATGCTTAATAACTACTAGCTATAATTTTAATAATATTATTACTAATAAAGAAAGCTTTGGGCCAGGCCACCCTGATACTAAACCTAAATCACAGATAATCTGTGCCTGTTTCCCCAGGCATAAAATAGGAAACAGATTCCCTTTCTTTAAGAACTAGAATCCAGGAGTTCAGGGTTTTTAGAGCACTAGTCACCCATCCTCCTTGTATTGACGCCTTTACAATAAATGCTGCGTTTTCCTTCCCCACACACACAAAATAATAATAATAATAATTAAAAGAATTAGAATCCAAAACTCCAAAAACTAAAGGAGTAAATGAGAACAACAAATGACAAGGGCTTATGGTATTGCACAAATATTTTTTTCTCTTAAGTTCCTAAGTCCCAAAACTATTTTGCAATCTTCTCTAGGTGAAAGATTCTGTGGCTTCATGAAGAAAATATCTGGGAAAACTCAGAGGGTAAACCAGTTGGAAGTATTGATTTGAGCCATTGCTTAATATTTTGTCTGTTTTGGGCACTGAATAGCTGAGGTCATTGAGTTTGCTGCTAAAATTCTCTTTATATTAATCCCTTGGACTGTTTCTGAAACCTTTCCCAAATGTCCTCCATGGAAGAAGTAAAGTCAAAGAGTCCTCATATCCCGGCAAGACCAGGGAGCAAGAAATCAAGGAATGTGGAACAACAGACACACTCTGAATAAAGGAGGTTGCATTTGCTTCTGAAGCTTATACAACTGTTCTTTCTCTTTCGCTCCTCTACTCTTCCCTCTCCCTGTTCTCCAATACGTGGATTTTGTTGAGTCAGCTGCTAAGACCACAACGTGTCTGCATCTGTTTCGAAGTGTTATCAATTCAATACTGAACTGCAAATACTGCTTTTGTGAAATGTCTCTATTCAGCACTCACGTGCTGCCCATCTCCTGCTGGACTGCAAACACCTTGAGAGCATGGACCTTGTAGAATTGACTTCCTCATTCATTCAACAAAAATTTACTGAGAACCTCTGTGTGCCAGGTATCATTCCAGGTTCTAGGGATGCAGAGGAGCCTGTCCATTTCCCATCACCCCACACCCTAGTCCAGGCCAACCCTGGACCTTATTTGTGCCACAGTTCATCCTCCTGCACCCTCTATTGCCCCCCTCCAATTCATCCTCCATACAGCAGAATTTTAAACATAAATATGATCATGTCACTCCCTAGTTTTTTAGGCCTTCCAGGGGCTTCTAATTGTTCTTAGGATGAAAACCAAAATTCTTACATTCAGGACCTGGCCTGCCTGTCCTACCACTGCTCACCTCTGACCCCTGTCTTTCAGCCCTGCCCCTCCCTCACTGTCTGACCTGCAGTCACCCTAGCCTTCTTGGAGGTCTTCAGACCTCTCAGCCTTCAGCGATCCCTGGCCTGGGATGCTGTCCACCTCACCACTGACACTGAGATGGAGTGTGAGGTACAAGATGGATACTAGGAATCCACTCCTGTAAGAGGAAGTGGGAGGAAGCAGTATCAGGCAGAGAAAGAAAAACCATGATGCAGGCCTGCCAAAGCTTTGGCCAACCTCCTGGGGAAGGCCTGGAGCAAATACTGCTCCAGCATGTCCCACAGCCTTCTCCAGTTAGGGTGTGATGGTGATCTCACAAGGCGGTTCTGTGCAGGTGCTGTGCAAGGCTGTCTGCTGACCGCACCCCTTGGGTAAAGGCAAGTTCTCCCTTGACAGGTGAGAGGGCACATCTCTGTGTCTACCACACCTGCCAGTACTGCTATCCCTCATCATCCAGCCAGGCTGCCAGGCAGCTCCAGCTTGCGGGCCACTTCCTCTGGGAAAGCTTTGCTCAGACCTTTGGGCTATAAGTGCTCATAAAACTCCTCAGCAGTTATCATAGTTTGTAATCATGTTTGTGTGTGCAATCAATGTCTGCCTTCCCTAAGAAACTATATGTTCTGTGTAGGCAAGGAAGGTCTGTGAGACTCATTATAGACCCAGAGTTCAGCCAGCACCTGGCCCCTGGTAGGTACCCAGTAAAAACCTGCTGAGGAAAGAAATAAAGATTGGTACCATGTCTTGCACACATATGACTTTCACAACTGTGTGGGTCCTCAAGAGCTTGCTGTGTATTTGGATCTCTCAGCTAGCTCACAGGGAGGGCATTTATGATTATTTCAATCAGGTTTTATCTCTGATATTTAGGAGCCTGCCTCCTGCCCTATCTTGACCTGGTCTAGAGGCAAAATAAAGGCAGAGTTCACACTATTACCACCACCATCATCATCACCACGACTACCACCCAAAAGCCTTTTAAGGGCTCAGTGCATTGCAATGGGCAGCTCCAATTTCCAAACCCAGAGAGCTACACAAGTCTGGTCTCTGCATGTATGGGCTGCAGCACTGGGTTAGGAATCACACTTCCTGCTCTACACTTAACTGTGCCACCTGAAAAGATTAAGTAACAAGTCAATCTCTCTGAGCTTCAACTGTAAAATAGGGATAATGTCTGCCCTTTCTCTTTCATTGATGTCTATCAGGTTCAAACTCCATGATAGGCAAGAAAGTGCTTTGCAAATTGTGAAGTGTGGTTCACAGGAAAGTAAGGGAGCTTTCTTCTCATGCAATCATGACAGGTTGGCAAAGGACATATTTGGGACACTAGTTTTCTACAATGGTGACGTGGGAGCCCACGTACATGGACTATGTGCTGGGCGTAGATGGGCTATGTGCTGGGTGTTGTTTTTCTCAGTTACGCAGATGGATTTGTGCTCACCTAAGCCCGCCCTACCTCCCAGTCCACTGTCCCTTCTGATCAGGGGTGGAGACAGCAGGAAGGGACTGTGTTTACAGCATACACAGGTCAAGGTTAAGCGTGTTTTGGAGGTAGAAAGGAGCATGTGGGTGTGTGGCTCCCGAAGTGGGCAGAGCGAGTAAGAATATGACATTAAAGGCAGTGGAGTCCTTAGAGAAGCTAAGCTCCCCAGGGGAGAATCTTTAACCTGGAGACTGAATACCTAGCCATTGAGACAGAGACTAGGAAGGAGCTAGTGCAGACACAGGTGCTGGGGATGGGACCAGTGATGAGAAGCCCAAATAACTTTCCAGGGACCTCGGCAGGCCAAGACAGTTTGCTAACATAGGAATTCTCAGCGCGATCTTTGGTTTCTGTTGCTCTCCCCATCCCCCTTTCCCCTTCATTGGTAATCAATTTATTTAATCAAAGTATATGGCATTCCCTTGATAAGGATGAACAAGAGTGATCCACAGCACTAGGTTCCAAACTCTTGACTTTTACAGTTACCTCACTGAACTTTCCCCAGAGTCCCACTAGGTAGGTGTGTTACCCCTTTTCACAGATGGGGAAACTAGGCTTACAAAGGCTAAATAACATGTTCAAAGTCAGCCAAGTGGTAAGTGGCTATATGCACCTATATTCAAACCCAGATTTTCTAGTACCTTCTCCCTTACACTGCTGTGTTTTTTAAGTTCCTCTTGCCCCCCACTTTCACGAATCTAATGTGTGTGTATTTGTTGGGGTGAGGAAGCTCTGGACTGTTTATCTGCCTGAAAACACCTAGACACAGAAATTCCAAGCCCAGGAGGGACCTCAGAGGTCATTTAATCCAACTTATTTTGCAGATAGAGAATCTGAGGCCCAGAGACAGGAAGTGACTTCTCCCACATCCTCTCTGTAGATTTTGTTGTCTCAGAACAGTTGTCTTCCATTCCTACTCCTGCCCTGCACTCACTCTGGGTAAGCCAGGATGCCTTTTCCTGCAGGTACCTCAGCCAAAATAATAGTTACCATGCGCTGAGCATTCATCAGCAAACGTTTACTGGGTGCTTACTATGTACTGCGAACACTCAGAGGTGTTGTGAATATGATGAACAAGAAAAACGCTGCCCCTGCCCTCTAGAGCTTTCATGGTTAATGGGGGTAGAAAGGAAATTAACACAGGTAACGGAGGTGTGGTAGCGTTTCAAATGGAGCTGTCAGGAAGCCTGACCACCTGGTATATACCAGCTGCTTAGTCCTTTAATTTTCACGACATTCCTCAGAGGCTGTGACCTGATCTCCGTTTTGACGACAAGGAAACCGGCGCTGAGACGGGTAAGAGTGGCAGTCAAGTCCAAAACTCCTAAGCCCCACTTCTTACCAGCCCCCTTCTTACCAGCCCCCGTAGAGCGGCCACTGCCACCGTCGGGCCCTGGATGATGAAACCCGGGGCGAGGACTGCACCATCTCTCAGCCTGTGTCCTTGCAGGTGTTGGGGGAAGGGATGTAGGGGGGAATGCAGGATGCGCTTCCAGGGAGAAGCTGCAAATAGCTCTAAATTCGCAGAAGTTTGAGAAGGGCAGACCCCGCCAGGACCCGTCCCGGCACCGCATCCCCTCTGCCAGACAAAAGAGCCCGCCCAGCCTACAGCAGAGCCAGACCACCGCTCCCGCCTCTTGCCCGGCCCCCGATCAGGCCAGCGCGGGGCACTATGGGACTTGTAGTTCTACCAGCTCTCCACACCTGCTACGAAAACAGACTAGGGAACTACAAGGCCCAGGAGCCAGCTGGCAGTCCCGGGCGGACTCGCCGGCGGTGGGTGTGCGAGCGCAGGAGCCGTGTAGTGCGGGAGCTGGGATGCGGCTGCGGGCGCCAGAGCCGAGGAGCAGCTCCAGGCGCGCGGTCTAGCCGGACTAGAAGAGGGGGTGGCCAGGTGGCGACAGGCACGTTGCATGCATGCATTGGGAGCAGACTTTGCAAAACCCCTGTCGTGCGGTGCTTTGGCTCTGCAGCGGCGAGGTGCAGGGTCCGAGTCGACGGGGGATGGGCACCCGTCCCAGAAGCCAGGCTGGCACCGCTAGCTGAAAGAGCCCTTGGCTGGGCTTGGGGACGGGTGTCGGCGTGCCCGCCTTGGGCTGTGCGTGACGTGTGTGTTCTCTTCTCCTTTTTGTCCCAAGGTTTCTCTGGGCGGGCGCGCGATGCAGCGGGCGGCGGCGCTGGTCCGGCGGGGCTGCTACCCCCGGACCCTCGGCCCCTGGGGCCGTGGTCAGAGCAGCGCGGCCGCCGAGGCCTCGGCGGTGCTCAAGGTGCGGCCCGAGCGGAGCCGGCGCGACCGCATCCTTACGCTCGAGTCCATGAACCCGCAGGTGAAGGCGGTGGAGTACGCGGTGCGGGGACCCATCGTGCTCAAGGCCGGCGAGATCGAGCTCGAGCTGCAGAGGGTGAGCGCTGGCTCCAGCGTTCGTGGGGCGGGAGGGCCCTGGGAGGCTAGGGGGCACTGGTGGGGGGGGGAAGAGTAGCAGCTGTCCCCTGCTGGGGTTCGCCCGCTGGACTTCCTCCCACCCGCGTGGCCAGCTCTTTCATTCGGCCCACCTTGGCTAAAACGATAGAATGCCCTCCCCCCATCCCTTTACCCGCCAGTGCCTGGCACCTGGCACAAAGAAAGGCCCTCAGATACGGTTCACTTGTTGAATTGAATTCATCAGTTATAATTGAGCTGCCCTTAGTGCCAGGCACTGTGGCCGTCCTACCCGCGTGGAACCAAGATCCATGGGGGGGTGGGGGTGGGGGTGAGGACGACAACAGGCAGTAAAGAAAGAAACCAGAATTTCAGAGATCACATTAGGTACCAGGGGAGGGAGGAAGGCTCTGAGGAGACTTAGGTTTGCTCACGAAGATTTTCTTTCTCTGTCTGAGACCTTTTGGGTCATTTTGCCAGTAATGATTCCCTGACAAAAGTGGAGTTGTTGCAGAGTGTCCTGCACAATTCCTTCCCTTAGGCCCCCTTTGGAACCCTGACTGACAGCCATATCTTGTTCTCCCAGTGGGTAGCAGAGGCTTGGGCCTTTTGGGCCTTGGTAGGGTGGCCCTGGGACGTTCTTCCTCCTGGTGGCCGGCTGGCTGGGACCTTAACTTGAGTTCATAGCTGTGTGTAAAGTGACCACACACCCAGTAGTGATTTCTGCCTCCTTGCAACCAGGGCGGCTGGGGTGGGTGTAAGAGATGCCCCTGTAGGATACCAGAGTTCTAACCCAGGTGGAATTCAGGAGGCGGAGTCAAGAGGGTAATGTAAAAAAAAGTAAACACTCCTAAGATTTGTAAGAACTGATGACAGCAGTCACCCAGCTGCTTGCCTAAGATAGTTCTAACCCAGAAGGGGGGAGGGTTCCTTGATCTCGCTCTCACAGGCACCAGAACTGGATGTCTTGGGGGTGAGTTGGCCACTTAATGTTCTTTGAATGCATGGGAGGAAGCCGTGGTGGGACCGTTACATTAACGTGGGGACTTCGGGGGGTTGATGAGCTCATGGCTCGCTAAGACCTTGTTGGGACACTCAGTTCTGCTGACTCAAAACAGTGAGTTGGACAAGTCAGAGTCCAGTGTCTCCCTCTGACTCCTTGCAGGGCTAAGTTTAAAGCTTGGCCCACAGAAGGCTGGCTCGGTTTCTGTGCCTCCCTGTCCCGAAGGTGGGCCACAGGCAGAGAAAACGGGCTTTTGCTGCTCTGCTCCTTGCTGATACCTGGCAGACTCTAGCTGGCCCTCCTTAAGACAACAGTCTCCTTGATAAGGCTGAGATTAAATTGTTTCCGGTTTATCACTTTACAACTGATTTTTCTGGTTCCAGAACTTGTAGGGGTTCCACGGATTATCTCTGCCTGTTGTTAAATAGCAGCTTGCGTGTGGGCTCCATGAAGTACAAGGATGATTAAGGCAGAAGGGGACACTGTCTTTGCCTTCAGGGATCTGATTGCCATATTGTCCTCTGGACCTGAGCTTCTCTTCCCCCAATTCTTTAAGGATTGGTGAGATTTTTTTAGCAGGCACAGAAAATGTGAGAGCATTCCAGGTGGAAGGAGGGCTGTGAGCAAAGACAGAAGGTTGGGAAGTTCTGGGCATTTGGGGAAGGGAATTGGTGCTATTTGGAGAGCACTGTCTGGCAGAGAGATATGGTAGATGAATAAGATGGAAAAGGGGGACTGGAGTCTTGTGTGCTGGGCTCAGGACTTTATGGTGCAAAGTTTAGTGTGCAATGGGGAACCAGGATGGTGTTCCAACAGGGTATGGCTCCATCATTGAGGTGGAGAAATTTCTTGGTCATTTGGGCTGGAAACACCCTGTGATTTCTAGGACAGATGGCCCCACTGCCATGTTCTACCCCTGAGTAAGTTGAGACATTCTTTCTGTCCACCTACATTCTCCGGTGCTTTCGTTCAAATTCATCCCTTCTTATTCTCTTCTCACTTGGTCGAATCTCAGTTGCCTGATTCTTGGTGCTGGAGATAATAGCCCCAGCCAAGCCAGCATAGCCTTGCTTAAACCTTTCATTCTCTAGAGACAGCCTCTGCATTCTGCTAGCTTAGACAGTGCCCCTTCTGAGAGAGCCATATTTTCCCAGTCTTTTTTTTTTTTTGGCTTGGCTTGGCTTGCGTTGGCTTTGCACAGCTTCGTTTTTTTCTACCTCCATTTTGAACTCTAATGATCAAAACCGGACTGATGTTATTTTAAAGGGTTCGATTTGGTTAGAGATGGGATTTGTAGAGAGTTGAGTGACTTGGGGTAAATCTTCAATCCTTTCTGGGCTTTGGTTTCCCTAGTCCATAAAAGGAAGGTCGGGTGGGCCCAGGGTTTTCCCCCAGGTCCTGACTTTTGTGCCTTTTTGTCCATCTGAAGACCTTTAAGCTGCCTTATGGAATCATTTCACCAGGTGCTCTGTAAATAGTACCGGCTGATTGGCTGGACACGTGGCTCTGGTTTTTTTTTTTTAACATCTTTATTGAAGTATAATTGCTTTACAATGGTGTGTTAGTTTCTGCTGTATAACAGAGTGAACCAACTATACGCATATGTATATCCCCATATCCCCTCCCTCTTGCGTCTCCCTCCCACCCTCCCTATCCCACCCCTCTAGGTGGTCACAAAGCACTGAGCTGATCTCCCTGTGCTATGCGGCTGCTTCCCACTAGCTATTTTACATTTAGTAGTGTATATATGTCAATGTGGCTCTGGTTTTTGACTGTGGGGTGGCTTGCCAGGCAAGTCTCGTCTATCTTGCTTGGTGGTAGGAGTGGACGAGAATGTTCAGGAGAGCCTGAAGGAGGAGGGGCACTTGACTAAGTGGGTGTGTGAAAGGGACCATTCTCCTCCAGCCTGGGCTGTGTGCTCTCAGGGAGGCCCTGTTTCTCCCTGACAGCAGCTCTAAGTGGGAGAACCTATCAGCTTTTCAGATCCTGGTGTTCATTGGGAGCAGCATTTAAAAATAAGCTGCCATTAGTAGGAGTTTTGAAAAGATCTGTCTGTTCCTCCTCAACCTACTTCTTTTTCCCTTGTTTTATTGGGGGAAGGGAGGAGGTTGGCATAAGTGGAGACAGGAAGGCTTCTGTTTGTAAAAGTACACAGAGTCAGGGCAAAACATTTACGAAGGGAAAAACTGAATACTGTTAACATCAGTGTGTGCTGCATCTAAACAGTAAAAGTGGAGAATGCTGTAGCACCTCCTTATCGTTAGCTAAGAACTAAGTCTGGAAACTCTGGATGTGCCAAGCACAAGAGGTGAAATCTCATCGGTCATTTTCTTTAGAGCTTAGATGCTATCTTAAAATAAAGAAATTTGTAGTGTAGGCTTCCATCTGGAACCCTCCACCCACCCACCCTGCCCAAGTCACCAAGGACCTGCATCCTGGGCTTTGCCTTTATGTGCTGTGGGCCTCAGACAAGTTACTCAGAGCACCTTGGCCTCAGTTATTCCTCTGCAAAATGAGCCCAATTTATTTCTCCTAAAGACTAGTTGGAGATGTTTAGTGATGATGCTTTGAACAGCTAGAAACCAGTCAGAACTCTTTTTTTTTTTTTTTTTGGTCCGCACTAAATGGCTTTTGGGATCTTATTAGTTCCCCGACCAGGGATTGAACTTATGCCCTCAGCAGTGAAAGTGTGGAGCCCTAACCACTGGACCGCCAGGGAATTCCCCAGTCAGAACTCTTAAGAGTCTTCATTTTCAAGATAATGAGAGTTGCTTGGGGAGAGTGCCAGGGGTCACTCTTTCCTTGCCTTCCCCTTGAGTCTCTGGGTCTAGGAATGTGGGGTTTGCTCTCCTGCCTGGGCCTTAACCTTGCTATCTTGAATTATCCTGTTTGGAGCTCATTCAGCTTTCATCCCTGCAAACCTCAGCTTCTACGGTTGACCCTCCCACAGGCCCCTAGACTTCAGGAACCTACGTCCAGCCTTCCCTGCTTCCATGGTTAGGAAACTCAGCCCTTGGAGCTCCCACCTCATCTCTTTTTTTTTTTTTTTTTTGCGGTACGCGGGCCTCTCACTGTTGTGGCCTCTCCTGCTGCAGAGTACAGGCTCCGGACGCGCAGGCTCAGCGGCCATGGCTCATGGGCCCAGCCGCTCTGCAGCATGTGGAATCCTCCCGGACCAGGGCACGAACCCGTGTCCCCTGCATCGGCAGGCAGACTCTCAACCACTGCGCCACCAGGGAAGCCCCCACCTCATCTCTTAATCACAGGCCTGTATAGGTTTGGCTCGGTTTCTTTCAGCTTTGCCTGTCATAATGGTTGGGGCCAGACCCTGTGCTGAGCCTCGGTTTCCTCAGCTGTGCAGCGCACCTGTTTTCAGGGACCCTGGGGACTAGCTGGGTTTGTCTCTGGGGCTTCCGTCTGGAGCTCTCTGTTGGACTTCCTGCCTGCCCAGTCTTGCTCATGGCCCTGGGGTCTTTTCACGTGGCCTTCCTGGCCTGGAGCCAGCTGTGCCCTCTCTCCCTTCTCTGAGTCCACTTCTTCATCAGCCTGGGCTCTGAAGGTGGTAGCCTCTCCTGTGTTGCCCCCTTCTGTCACAGAGCATGATTCATAAGTGTTTGTTGAAGGAGAGAGAGGCTCTCTAGGGACTCACCGTCCTACCAAACCTTCCCGCTCGCATGTCACATGAAATGACAGGAGCCACCCCTACCTTGAGGAAACTGCCTTGTGCCTGTTAGAATTGTCCATTGTCCTTTTGCTGGGCCTGTGAGCTGGGAAGGACAATGCTAACTCCTTTTTCCTTCTCCCTGCTAACACCCTCTGAAATATGCCATCCCCAGAGCCTGGGGGCCTTCTCCTTGAGCCCTCCTTGAGCTGAACTGTGGGAAGAGAGCCCCCCTGTGTTGGCTCTCATCTCAGTGCCCCACAGGGAGGCAGCTCTGGGCAGGATGTGTGCAGATGAGTTAAACAGGTGGGCTCTAGGATGCTGGGAATTGAAACTAGAAAGCTATGTGCTGACCTGGCAGGCTCCCGGAGGGCGGGGCTGAGGTGAGGTTGCCATTGGGTGTGCGTGCAGGCCTGGATGAGTCACTGTGGGCAGGAGCCTGCCCCTGACTCCTTGGTATTTCCCAACCCATGTAGATCTCAAGTGCCTAGATACAGGAGTCTCCTTTGTATGGTGGCCCTTGGCTGGGCAGGCTGGTCCCCTGCCCATTCAGAGGAGCCAGTTTCCCACCCTGCAGCTCGTCCATCATAGCGAAGTGTCTGGAGACCATAGGTACCCAGACCCGAGAGAGGAGATGCTCTATGCTCCTAGGCTGCTTGTTGGCAGGCCCCAGATTGGTTGAGCAGTGCAGGGTGAGGGCACAGGAAAGGAACATCCAGGGATCTGTTCCAGGCATTATTCTCTCCCTGCATTGGGCTGGCTGAGGGCCCGCAGCTGTGTGTTGTAGTTCCTGGCCCTTGACTGTGACACATTTACTCCCTACCGAAGAATGGGCTGTGTCCACACCATGGAAATCACCTGAGTTCAGCTAGCCAGCCCTGGGGGACCGTGGCAATTGAGTCAGGCTGACAGCGTCCCATGCCAGGAGCCCAGGCCAGTGCCAAGGAGTGGGTCAGGTCTGCCCCTTTGCACACAGTGGCCTGGATTGCTGCACCTGTGGGACGAGCCCTGAGGCCACATGCCCCGAAGCCTGTCTCCAGGGTGCCTGCCCTCACCCCAGCCCAGCCCTGGGCAGTGGGTGGTGCTGTCCCCCTGCCTTGGCCCCCTGAGATGTCTTTCCATATTGGCCAGCCCTGAAGAACTTGGTAAAAGGAGCAGGAGGGAATTAAAAGCCCTTTCTCCCCGCTACCCGCCACCAAACGTAGCTTTTGGAGACTTATCAGGCCCTGTTTATGACGGTCCAGTGCTGTTTCTGGGGTGCCCTCCTCAGCGCCCCATGCCTCCTGGCTCCCGAAGCAGCTGGAGAATTTCTGTATGGGAGGGGCTGAGGAGTGGCAGATGAGGGTCAGGAAGACTTGTTCGGCAGGCAGCTGCTTTCATCCCTTAAGCCCACTGGTCTTTACTTAAGGGGTATATTACTGAGTTAAAAAAGGGAGAGTTTTCTAAAGTTGCTTTTATGCACACATTATGTGAAATGGAGAAGGCAAGTGTCAGAACCATAGAACTGTACCTTTAAAATTTGTATTTAGGGTGCCTTTGGGGAAAGGGCAGCTGGAGATATGGAAAGGTGGCCAGGCATTCCACCCAGACCCCCCCTTGGTACTGCCACCCCTTGCCCCACCGCCTTCTTCCTCCACCATGACCCTTGTGACCTTGTTCCTGGTCCAGCTTTGTAAGATGATGATGTTTGTACTCTGCCAAGTGCTTTCATACTGTTTGTCTCAGATAATCCTTTCAGCTGCCCTGGGAGGTCCTTGAACCTGCTGTTGATTCTAACTCTTACAGTGGCTAATTCTGGATTTATCAGTGAGCTGCGTGGAGTTCCCACATTTCCAGATCCCCACAGTTCTCCATCCAAAATGCATTTTCTCCTTAGCAGCAGCCGGGGTGTCCTGCAGTCACCTCCCCAGTGACATTGTTGCCAGGGTTTCCGAGTTCCTCCTCTCTCTGCCATCTCTGTTCTGTGCTAAACGCATTGCTCAGGCAGTGGCCTCAGTTTTGCTCTTCAGCCAGTCTTTTCATCCCTGACGCTTTTTTTTTTTTCAATATGAAAATCAGCCCACATTCTTCATCCTGCAAAGACAGGGTTGCAAGAGAATGACCCCCAAGAGGTCCCTGCTGATCAGTGTCTTCTGGAGGGGAGGGTGGCTGCAGTGCCCCAGTCATTCACTTAGGGGTGGAGGTGGAGCTGCGCGTGGGGGGAGGGAGCCGGCAGTTGTGGGATCCTCTCCCTGATGTTTTCTGCTGCAGACCCCTCCCTCCCTCGCACCACATTTGCCCCAGGGTCAGCGTGGACCTGCAGCTGCCTCAGGGTGCTCTGGCAGCCCAGGAAGCTCTTCTGGCCTTTTCAGAAAATGGGTAACCTTTTGAAGCTTTAATTTCCTAATCTGTAAAAAGGGTTGTATATGGGTTGGCCGAAAAGTTCATTCGGATTTTTCCATAACATCTTATGAAAAACTGAAAAACGAAACCAATTTTTGGGCCAACCCAATACTGGCCCTTCCTCATAGGGGTGGTTGTGAAGGTCAAATGGGACCAAGCATGTCAAGGGCACTGGGCCTGACACCTGGCAAGGCTCAGAATAGGGCTGCTTATTAATATCCTGTTGAGCATTGCTTGGCCTCTGGAATCCAGGGTCTGAGAGTCACTAAGTAACACCTGTTGCTTTCTCTCTACTCAGGGTATCAAAAAACCATTCACTGAGGTCATCCGTGCCAACATCGGGGATGCCCAAGCCATGGGCCAGCAGCCAATCACCTTCCTCCGACAGGTGAGCTGGCCCTCAGGAACAGAGGCCACTGGGACAGCAGGGAACCAGCCAGCCAGGCCCATTACATTACCTCTGCCTCCTTGCCTGTCCAGCTCCCTCAGGACACAGCAGACACCAGGATCCCACAGGGAGGTGCCATTGAAGTAGCAGCCCCTCCAGTGCCTGATGTCCCCACTGGTTCTCTCCCTCAGTCTCCTCCCCTTCCAAAGCTGTCTGAAATTCCTAAACCCATTTTGAGGATGCTCTAGTATACAAGGCTCCCAGGTGCATGGTCCTGGATGCTGAGTTTGGAGCTGGGTTGGTGAGGGCATCAGAGAGTAGATGGGAGAGGTAGAGGCCCAGTGGGCTGGGAGATGGTGCGTGGGGGTCCAGGTATGGCTTCCCAAGTGAGAATCCCCAGGTTTGAGTGTTGGCTTTGCTGCTTACCAGCTGGGTGGCTTTGGGCAAGTGGAGATCACCAGACACTGCCTCGGAGGACTGCTGGGGGACTCCATGAGATGGAGAGTGTGAAGGCCCTCAAGAGGCACATTGCAGTGTTTCAGTTTGAGTGCCAATTGCAAGGATGCTGCATGGGCCAAAACTGTGGGATTGGTGGGCTAGAGGGGAAAAGATAAGGTGGGAGAGTACTCCAGGGCCTGCTAGACAGAGGTTGGAGACCAGCTACAGCGAAAGCTTTTCCCTGGAGAAGGAATGGGGCAAAATTTGGTCCTTGTGTGGCTAAGGTTGGCAGGCTGGGGCAGGCAGCAAAGCTGAGTGCTGAATGCCCTGGTCTTTTCCTGCCCGTATTTCCTGCTGCAGGGACTGGCACACAGGAGGGGCGATCCTACCCTGCTCCCTGGGTGGAGGGTTGTTGGGGGCCCCGGGGCCTCAGCCTTCAGCCCCTCAGGGAATTCACACAGGGTATGGGGGAGAAGAACCAAGGCTGGCAACGACCTCAGGAACATCCACTGCATGGACTCCCATGGCCACTGTTGCAGACCTCAGCAGCGTGCCAGCAGCCCATGAATGTCAGAGGCCCCAAGCTGGGCCCGTGGGGAGGAAGTGGATCAGACCAGACAGAGAGGCTCTGCCAGGGAAGTGGAGCAAGAGGAGGTCAGAGCCTCCTGGTTGTCCTGGAAGCTTGTCCTGGAAGCACACAGCTTAGGAGAGGAGAGGCCCAAGGTGGCTTCCCTCTGCAGAGGTTCCCCACACGTGCCTGGGGCGCCTTCTGTTGCCTCAGCCTTTTCTGGCTGGCTGGCACACTCCCGGATCCAGCCCTGCCGCCGGCTGTGGCAGGCCCGGCCTCTCCCGCTTGGTGCTGGCCTCCTCCAGCCTTCACAAGCACCCCAGGGAGGAGGGCAGGCTGGGTCACTGCCTATTGCACAAATCTTTTTGAAGAAAAGCCGGGCTCCAAGAAGCCTGCGCCCGCCCAAAGTCCCCCAGCCGTGAGCCACAGCCTGCCTCAGTGCTCCTGGCATCGCTCTTAAGCTTCCAGCTTAGACTTGCCTGGTGAGCGGGGGTTTGCCAGCACTTTTGCAAACATTTCCTTGCTTAATCCTCTTAATTTGTGAGGTTAGGGTGATTTTCTGTGTTACAGAGGTGAAAAAGCTGAATCGGTTTTCAGTTCTGGCCAGGAAAAGGGGTGATGGGGGGTGCTCAGGCTGTAGGCAGAGGTCTGTGCAATCCTGTCATCTGGGGTGCACCTGCCTCCTCAGCCCCAGCCCCCTGCTCTGGAACCCCTGGTTCTTGTGGCCTTGGGTATGTGAGCTGCTGTCCTTTATGGAAGAGGTGGGGCAGAGTAAGCAGCCTCCTTCTGTCCCCTGGCTCCTCGGAGGGTGGTGGCCCACCCTCCGCCCAGGCCCAGGTCATCATGGACCTTGCCTCTCACCATCTCCCTTCCGCTGCAGAGCGTCCACTGTCCTCCTCCCCGCCTGTCCCCAGGCCCCCACAGGCTGGGGCCCTTGTGGAGAGGCCTGTGAGGGCACTGTCCCTCAGAGTTGTCATCTCACACCGTCGCCTGCCCAGAGTCCTTTGTGCCCCTCCGGGGTGGGCGGTGCTGGGAGCCCAGCCCATGCCTCTGTTCCTCCAGGTGATGGCACTCTGTACCTACCCGAACCTGTTGGACAGCCCCAGCTTCCCAGAAGATGCTAAGAAACGAGCCCGGCGGATCCTACAGGCTTGTGGCGGAAACAGCTTGGGTGAGGCCCCGACTTGCCAGGTCCCAGCGGGCGTGAAAAGAACGTGTGTTCTCAGCGTGGGCCTGGGCCTCGGCCCAGAATGAAGGGTTACACGTTGAGTGAGTGTGTGAATGTGTGTGGTGGCTGACGTGCAGAGTAAATGACAATGTTCTTCTTGTCCGTGCTCTGTCAGCCTCTTGTTTGCTGAGCTTATGGGGTCGATGCCATCTTTTGGTGGATTGGGGCACTTCAGGCGCAAGAGCCTGCATTTGGCTGGATTTGGGGTTTACACTGGGAGCTGGCTTTGATGCTGAGCCCACCCTCAGAGCAGAAGGTTGAGCCCGAGGCAGCCTCCGAAGCCAGAGGCCAGAGGGAGGCACATGCCCCGCTGGCCCGGCTTCTCACTGCCCTGTGGCCACGCTGTGAGGTGCCTGTGGCCCCCTTTTGGTGGTTTCCTTGCTCTGAAGGTGCCGCCCACCCGCCCCCAACTTGTATGTTATGTTCCCGTCACCGGACTGTGCTCCTTTGTGCTGGGAGCCCAGGCCCAGCCTCGGCCCCCAGCACCAGAGGGCTCCGTGGAGGAAGGCCCTGTAGATGTGAAAATGATCTTCTCTCCCTTCCCTGCTGAGATGGATTTCCAGCCTCTGGGCCTCTGGCTCTTTGTTCTCATCTCATGTTCTTTTTCCTGTTTATTTTTGCTTCATTCCTTTGCCCAGTGCCTACATAGGGAATCTAGCTTCCTTTGTCCTGAGGAAAATCGTTGTCCTTAGGGCTTTTTTAGGACTAGTGCCTGAATGTTTCAAAACATGGGACGGGGATTCTTGTGGCTTGTTCAGCAGGGGATCAGCCACAATTGGCATCTCTGTCACCTCCTTGCCTTTCCCCTCCCCCTTTTCTGCTCTGTCCCTTTATGGAGAGCCCTATGCTTACTTTCCTGGCTGTGGTCACCCTACCAGCCCTCTGTCCAAGTTTGTGTCCTTCACAGTGTCCCTCTCAGGAAGGGGCCAGCTTCCCTGCCCGCCAGCCTGCTTGGCGTGTGGGCCAGCACCTTGTGTGGCAAGGACTGAACCACAAGCTGGCAGAGGCCAGCCCAGAGGCCTGGCCTCCAGGCTCCTTTCCTCCTGCACCCTCTGCCCAGCCCAGAGGACAAAGGCGCTTCTCGAAGACCCATGGCAGTGGGCCTGAGACTCCAGGAACTGCAACCCGGAGGTGGAGGGAGGGGGTTTGCTCTTGCATATCTGATGTCAGTGTCTGGGGAATGGGGAGGGGATTTTGTTCCATGCACTAAGCCTCATCGACAAGTTTTGTTCTGTGTCAGCCAGGGCTGGGAGAATGGCATTGGGAGGCCATGTCCGTGTGAGTCGGGACTGTTGGCCTTTGGGGTTTTGGGAACCTGCATTGAGTTCTGTCTGGGGAGCTCATGAGGACAGGTGAGGTAGGTGCTCTCTGAGCCTCTTTCCTCATCCTTGAATTAGGAGATACTTTGTACCCACCTCCCGGGCTTGCAGGAAGGTTGGCATTTGTGCCCCTTGTCAGGTGTGGAGAAGCCCCGCCCTGGAGGTCACTACCTGTTCCTGCCCATTGTTGGGGGAGGGGCAGTGTCCTGGCCAAGACTGGGACAATGGGGGGGTGGTGCTCTGTCAACTAAGGCTTGGGCAGCCTGAGCACCTGCCCACAAAAATAAAGGAAATGGAAAATGTCAGTATGCCCAGGGCTACCCTGGCCCACGGAGAGATTATAAAATGTGTACACAAGGTCTTAGGGCTCACCTGGACGTGTTTTTATCATGCCCTTTAAAATTATTTCTTACTGGGGCTCCATTTATTTTTTGTTTGATGAGTAATCCAGTTCTCAGGCTGTGTCCCGGATCTTAAGTAGGATTGAGGTGAAACCTAGACACACCTGGGGGAGGTGGGAGCCGGGAGATAACGCCCTCGTCAGGCTCCTCTCTGAGCCCACGCCGTGTACCAGGCGCTGCTCTGGGCCCTGAGGGACACTGGTGAACAAGGCAGGTGGAGTTTCTGTGCTTGTGAAGCTCACTGTCAGATTTGGGAAAAACAAACATTAAAAAGAATTAACACAGAAACATAATCCCCAGTTTTCATGAGTTCTTAGAGAAAGAGCAGAGAGCTGTGGGGTTATAACAAGGGATTCTAATGTAGAGGGAGGGTTTAAGGAGAAACTGGCATTCAAATTCATGTGGAAGATGACTAAGAGATTCTGTTAATGCACACCAGACAGAGGAAATGGTGTGTGCAAAGGCCTTGAGGTTTAAGGCTGAGTGTGATCGAGTGAAAGGGTCTGGGTGCGATGGCGCTGGGGGTTTGGCAGATGGTGCCAGTTTGTGGGCAGTGGGAGGCAGGTTGCCATGGGTCCCAGGGCAGAGTCCTACACAGGGGTACGTGCTCTACAGCGATGAACAGAAGAAATAGGTGATGGTCCCTGCCCTCAAGTCAACATGGGGAGGCAGGGGTTCATCTGTATAAAATAAGATAACTGGAGAAATCACAGACTGGGAGAAAGGCTGGGGTGGGGCCCTATCTCAGGCTTCCTAGAGAGAGACTAGGTCTGAGCTGTGAAGGATCAATGTGGTTCAGAGCATAACAGAAGGTGGAAGTCTGTGGCTGGCAGGAGCAGGGAGCTTGCCCGTGGGGGAACGTCTGGGAATTCAGGGAAGCAGGTGAACTAAAGGCAGGAAGAAGAGGAGGCTTAGCTGGTGTGGAAATGGCCAGGCCTCATGGAGTGGAGGGGAGGGCACTGAAAGAAGGCAGAGGGAAATAGGGAGCACAGGAAACTTTCTGAGCATGGGAGCTCAAGAAATATCAAATAAGACATCCAGTAGAAGAAGGATTCTCTAACACCGGCTTCTGTACCTCCCCACTTTTTTATTTGCAAAATATTTCAGATGCATTCGATACCCCAAATAATGTGACAAGGCTCTGTACTCACCACCCAGGTTTGATACGTGTTAATGTTTGCCACTTGATCCTTAGAGAAGTGGTCCAGCCTCCTTCCCCCCTCCCCCACCCCCACTTACAACTGGTCAGGGGGGAAAGGCCAGCCCAGTGCTGCACAGACCCTGAAACCCGGCACCTCCTGGGTGCTGGGCCTTGGATGCTGTGCACTGAGACCCAGAGAAGAGCTGGCCACTTTCCAGAGCTCCATCCTGCCTCCTGGTGGTGCTGTTGCAGTAGTCTTAGAAGGAATGAGCTGGTTTTCTTTAAATGTGTATAAAATTCAAATGGTATAAAAGGATATAGAGTGAAAGATCTGCCTCCCATCTCTGACCCCAAGCCTCCTGGTTCACTTCCCCAGAGAATTCACCTCACCAGTTTGAGTCTCCTTCAGAGAGATTTTGTGCATGTGCAGGTACCTATTTTCAGTTGCTTTTTAAAAACATAAGTAGTGGCTTGACATTTTGAAAAAGTTTTTATGCAAACAGTAAAAAGCACAAATATTAATGTACAGCACCTATGTGTGCACACCTGTGTAACCCCTGCCCAGATCACGACACTGACCATTCCCAGCATCACAAAAGGCTCCTCTGCGCCCCTTTGCAGTCAATACCCCCAAGCCCAAAGTGGTCACCACTGTTTTTGAACTTCATGTAAATGGTGGTTTGGATTTTGATCCAAATTGGCAGCCTGAGCATGCTGTTGGCATGGGGTGGGGGTAGGTGGGTCATGCCTCACAGCCCCAGGGGATCTGTGGTTAGTGCTGGTGAGGGTTCTGGATTCCTGGGCTGGCAGGCGGTGCCATTTTGGGGTGACCATTCTCTCAAGTTTTGTGGAACCATGTGTAGGCAACAGTGATGGAAGCATAGCAGTCCCAGCTGTAATGGTACATACTGTCATAGAACGTGTAAACCCCAGTAGGGTAGGTAAAGCAGGTATGGGCACCATTTAACTGGTTAGAAGCCAGGGCCTGGAATAATGCTTGATGTGTAAGTAGGTTCTCAGCAAATACTGGGGGGATGAATGGATGAGTGTGTGGGTGGACAGATGAACAGAAGGGCAGGTGGGTGGGTGGGTGGGTGGGCAGGTGAATGGATGTATGGATGAATGGATGGATAGCAGATGGACAGATGGTTGAGTGAGTGGGCAGCTACATGGGTAGATGGATGGATGACGGGATGGGTGGATGAAGCCCAGATAGGTAGTTAAGCAGCTTGCCACAGTTCCAGAGCCTAGAGTAGTGAGAATAGGGCCACACTGAGCCCTCCCTGACCTCCCCCTCCTTCCCACTCCCAGTTAATTATATGGATATCACAGACGCTATGGAGCCAGACATCCTGCCTCTAGTCACTGTCTTGCTTGCTGTCTTAACAGGATCTTACAGCGCTAGCCAGGGCGTCAACTGCATCCGTGAAGATGTGGCTGCCTATGTCACCAGGAGAGATGGTGGTGTACCTGCAGACCCGGACAACATTTACCTGACCACTGGAGCTAGTGACGGCATTTCCGTACGTGTGAGGGTAGCTTGTTGTTGTCCACTGTTCACCCACGTGAAGAACAGCCTTGCATGTTAGGGCCGAGTGTGTGAGCCTGTTAGCAGGGGGACAGCCTGGGAGGAGAGGTTGGCCTCCCTCTGGTCGCTGCTGTTTGCCCCACCCTGGTAGCCTGCTCTCCTTACCTTGTTCAGTCTTCATGAACCTGGGTACCCCTGCAGCCTCAGTTTCCCTCCAGAGTGGCACCAGCAGGTCCAGCTGGGAGGAGTCAGGGGTCACTCGAGGGTGCCCGTCTTCCTGGCGACATCGGCCTTTCTCTCACTCAGCACATACGGTGTATCTGCTCTGCGAGGCACTGTGCCAGGTGCTGGGGAGACAAACACGTTTGGCCTCTGCTTACACATCAGTGCTGGATAAGACTGGCATTAATAGCACATAAATACATGTCAAATCTTAAGCTTTCAGTTTCTCTTCTGGAAGAGGACAAAGTGTTACAGGAGGGAGCAGCAGGGACTCTGACCTGGGGGGCTGGGGAGGGCAGGAAGGTTTCTCCAAGGAAGGCTGAACAGATAGAGATCTGGAAGCTGCGTACCTGTGAACTCAGGAAGGCAGGGGAGAGACAGGTTCGGAGCAGAAGGTCAGCATATGTAGAGGCCTTGAGCTGGAAGGAGGCTGTGTGTCTGGAAACAGCATCGGGGGGACGAGCACACATGGTGAGGGCCAGTTACCAGCAGTGGGCTGGGAAGCAGGTGGGGCCTTGTTGTCCTGAGAGCCTGGGAGCCACTGAAGGATTTGAAGTAGGCGGAGGGACATAATTATATTTAGGTTCTTAAGCTTTAAGTGTGGCAGGAGGGGGCATAATAGATGTAAGGGAGTGTTTAGGAGGCAAGAGAAGAGGTGGCTTGGGCTGGGGATCAGCCGTGGAAGAGGTGACGAGGGGCTGGTATCAAGTGTTCCATAGCAGAAGGGGCTGAACCCAGGGCCTGAGGAACCTGCAGCCTCCCTTCCCTTCCAGCACCCTGCCCCCGTGCCCAGTCAGTGCTGAGTGCCATCCACTCACTTTGTTCTCCCTACTCAGGGAGCCTGTCCTGTCTGACCCTTCCTGTAATGGAGTTATCTTTGTCTGTGTCTCTTGACTTCCAAAGGCTCCTGTTTTTGTTGTTTGTTAAATGCTTTAGTCCTTTCCTAAAGCCTTTCAAATGCATTAAACTCTTCCTGGAACCCAGGAGGAAACTGAGGCCCAGAGACCTTAGGTGGTCTGCCTGCTCTAAGTCAGCCTCTTGTGGCATTTGAGATTCTAGTGTTGGACTCAGGCTCCCAACCATGGCATCTTCCACCGTGTTCTGCCAAGGCCCGTCTCTATTCCCAGATAAGCCCAGGTATAGGTAGAGGTTCCAGAGGAGGGTTGGGGGAGGGGTCCTCAAGATTTAGTGAAAGAATCAAGTCATTGCAGTTTTTAATCCAGTGGCATTCTTGCAGCAAGGAGCCGAACCTGAGAAAGAAGCTAAGTCTGTGTAAGGTGGGGACTCGCCCAGAAGAGTTTGGGCTTATTAATCCAGTGAATTATTGCCACCTCCACCAGTGCCCCACAGGACTCCCCAGGCCTGGTTTCTCAGGAATCCTATGAACCTAGGGCGCGCTCAGCTTTGGAAACAGCCAGGTTGAAGCGCCACCTGGTGGCCATAGCTGGGTATTTTATCCCATTTCAACAATCCCTTGTTCAGGGGTCTGTCCAGCCTTGGGCACTGATAGCTACCAACCAGACAGATTCCTGGGCTCCACCCAAGACATACAGAATGAGTTTCAGGGGTGAGGTCAGAATAATTCTGAGACAGGGCCAGTTTGTGGGCTACTGCTTTAAAAGACCTCTTTAAAAAATACTAACAAGTATTGCGTGTTAAACTACATACCATGCACTGTACTGAGAACTTTAAAACATTTTGCTTATTTCTCACAGCAGACCTCATTTTACAGATGAGGAAAGTGAGGCTCAGGGAAGTTCAGCCACTCCCATGAGGCTGCACTGGAGGCAGGCAGTGGGGTGGCTGGTGAAAGGCAGGGTTGGGGCCTTCCAGCTTGCCTGCTGCTGGTCAGCCCCCGCGGGTGGGAAGTGGCAGTGGCCTTGCAAGATATGACTTCTCGGTTGCAGACGATCCTGAAGATCCTGGTCTCCGGGGGTGGCAAGTCACGGACGGGTGTGATGATACCCATCCCGCAGTACCCCCTCTACTCGGCGGTCATCTCTGAACTCGATGCCATCCAGGTGAACTATTACCTGGATGAGGACAACTGCTGGGCCCTAAACGTGAATGAGCTCCGGCGGGCCGTGCGGGAGGCCAAAGAGCACTGTGACCCCAAGGTGCTGTGCATCATCAACCCCGGGAACCCCACAGGTCTGTGCTTTACTACCTTGCCAGTTTCTTGGGGAGCAGGGGCAGGGTGGCTGGAGTACTGAATGTCTGGACACTAAAGATCTAAGAAATGATGAAGTCCTCTTTGCTCCCAGGTTCCCAATCCAACTTCAGATTTGCTAACCTAAAGCCATAAAATTTGCTGCAGACCACCTTAGGAGGTGAGCAAATGCAGGCATTTTCCTGGGCAGGGTTGTATTAAGACCAGTTTTTCTCCTGTTCTTGCATTTGCAAAGAATCTTCTCTTTGAGGTCACGCACAAACCGTCACCATTAATCATAGGCCTCATTTTACCCTTACTCCTACTTGTTTTTCTGAACCAGTTTTCAGATTGCTGGTGTGTGCGTTGTTTTTCTTTGACACAGCATTACTGTGTACTTTGAGGCCTGAAAAGGAAATGCCATATTAAAAACAAAAGCGAACAAACCAAAAAAACCTGATTCCAGAAGTTGAAAATCACTCCTAATTTTGCGTATTTTTCTTTTTTAAAAAAAATGCACAGTTCTGCCTGTTTTGATCTTTCCAGGCTGCTGGCTTCATGTGCCCCCGATGCTATTCGGATGCAGAGAACAAGGGCTCCTCTCTCCTCCTTTGTTGAGATAAACTGGGTCAGGGCCAAAGCGTGGTGGAGTTGATTGTGGAATCTGTTTCTTGGGAACATCAAATGATGCTTCAATCAGCTGAAAGCGCCACTTGAATTCCTGAGCGCAGAAAATGGGTGCAGCTGCCCTCCACCCTGGTTTATTTACGCCAACTGCTTGGGGGAAGGGATGAAGGGTCTAACCCTGGTTCAGTAGGAAAATGACAGAGCTGGGTTCTCAATCCTGGTTGCACATTAGAATCACAAAGGGAGCTTTTAAAAATGTTAAAGGCCAGGCTGCACCTCAGAATCTCTGGGGATGGGGCCCAGGCATCAATATTCTGTGCAGCTGAGGATGAGAAACACTGCCCTAGGATGATCGTTCTAAAACTTTAGCTTGTTAAGAAAAAAACAAACTGCTGGGCCCCACTTCTAGGTATTCTGATGTAATTAGGCTGGAGTGGGGCTTGACAATTTGCATTTCTAACAAGCCCCCAGGTGATGCTGATGCTACTGGTCCCAAACTTGGAGTAGTAGGCCCTACATCTTAGGAAATACTCTGTATACCTAGTTTATATCATAGGGTTGGTGACTTCTTGGCCAGGTGCTAACATAAATCTTCACCTGGCTGTCCTGGGAGAAATAACTGCACTAGAGACTTTCCTGTTTTAGGTCAAAGGTGGGGGAGTCATGTGAGTATATGTTAATATAAGCAGTTTTTTTGGGTTTCTTGGCCATGCTGCACAGCTTGTGGGATCTTAGCTCTCCGACCAGGGATTGAACCTGGGCCCTGAGAGTGAAATCACTGAGTCCTAACCATTGGACCATCAGGGAATTCCCTCTCTGGGGTCTTAATGGGTGAAAATCAGCTATTGGAAGATGGGGGATGGAAAAATAGAAACCTACCTGTGATAACCATGTATCTTGCCTGAACCACACACTGTGACCACTTTGGCTAAAAGGTATCAAAATGGACTGGGATATAAGTGGCTAACAGGGCTCTTTGGGATTCAAGACAGAAACTCATCTTAAGACTTGAAGGGAGTGGATCTGTGACGTCCAGGGTAAAGCAGCACACTTGAATCAGCGTCATTGTCATAGGAACCCCAGGCCATTTCCCAGCTCTGCTCTTCTCTGGGTTGGAATCCTTCTCAGAAAGCATCTGTCCTGGGAGTGGCCTTCAGCAGTTCCAGTCATTGCCCAGCACCTAAGCGTCCTCCACAGAGAGCCTTGCCTATAGTTTCAGCCAAAGCCACAGGCCAGACTCTCATTGGCCCACGTTGACCAACCTGCCCGTGCCTGACCTAGTTAAATCACTGAGGCTGATTGGCTGGATCTGTATCCCATGTCCCTTGCTGGAGTTTAAAGAGAGGGAGTTCTCCCTGGGACAGCTGAGTGTTGTTGCTCAAAAAAGGGCAGAATGCAGGGCTGGTGCAAGCAACAGGTATCCCCATTAGTTTGTGGGAAATTCCTTTGGCCTGGCCTCTGGGAAGGGGCACTTAGACCTCTCCCCAGCTTTGAGGCCTACAGCAGAGCCACCTCTTTTGTGCAGTGGGCTCATGTCTCCCCCTGCTGGGCACAGCTGTGCCCTGCCCCTCTAGAGCCTATGTGACTCTCCTCCTGTACCACCATGTGTGTTTGTCCATCCATTGGCTCAGCAGGCATGTTCTGAGTGACTCCTTCGTCCCAGGCGAAGACTGGAGAGAAGTAAGCTCTGTCCTTGTCCTACAGTTTGCATCACTCATATCACGGGGATTATTTGCGCACAGCAGGTCTCCTTTGCTCTCCCGAGCTACAGGCTTCCTGAGGCCTGGCCCTTACTCAGTTCTCTCAGCACTCCCCCTGGCAGTATGTACACATGGTTTGATGCTCTTGGTGCTCAAACCTTTGCTTGCATTCTAACAGGATACACTTTGTGGGATGGCAGCCCTGGGAGAGAAGACCAGCAGCATTTTTAGGCAGGCTCAGCCCCCTGGATAGGCAGCTCCTGTCTGTCTGTGGGAACAGCAGCTGGTTCCTTGTAGCATCCAGGGCTACTACCCTTCCTAATTCCCAGAGCCATGAGCTTGCTTCATAGGAAGCCCGGTTGACCCTTTCTTGGCAGGAGACAGGTTGTTCCCTTAGGAAAGGAATTGGTTCATTGCTTAGACAGTTTAAGTCTGAAATTCTGGCTGAATCATACCATACTTTTATAAGATACATCTATATATTTTTTCTAAGACTTATTCTTGTTATTCTTACATGGGCAAGAATATAGTTATTTTTAACAAGAAGGTAACATACTCTACATACTGGTTTGCATCTAGATATAGATACATATATAAATGACACATGTGCCCATACATACACACATAAATATATACATATATGTAACATCCATAGATGCACATTTATGTATAGTAAAGAAACAGCCTTTTGTGAGAAGTCAGCATGCCTGACTAGTGCTTTCCCAGAGGCTATGTGAGCACGTCAGACAACCCAGTGCCACACTTACAGTGGGCCTCAGGAAATATTGGGAAAAGGTTCGTTTCTACCTTGTTGCATTTGTTCCTTTCCCCACCTAAACCCACAGTATTTCCTGTGAACTGATGGGTGAATATTTTGCTGCTGGCTGGCACTCATTTCTCTAAGATGGATGAAATGTTGAGTCAAGCCCTGAAGGGAGACCCTGGCAGGGACACTGCGGGTACCCGGAAGCATCCTCAGAGGGCAGCTCCCATGTAGCTGCTGACAGGAGAAGCCAGAGCTAGCAGGCAGGCTCATCTCATTTAGAGCTTATTCCACAGTATTTACCGGGGCCCTGCTGAGTGCTGGCTTTGAGGGTCAGCACTGAGCCCACAGACCTTGTCCCTGCCTCACGGAGCTTGTGTGGGCAGAAGGTGTAGCCAGTGCAGTTCTCCTGGTGTTGCCGCTGTGGGGTGAGGAGGAGAGTGGGGCTGAATGATTAAACTCCTTCAGTTTAACTTTCCCGCTCTTTATGATGTTGTCATGCCTTCTTGCCCTCCAGCACAGATTAATACAAATATACCCCCTCCACACACACACACCTCCAATAAGAATAGCAAGAAGGCTGGGTGTGAAACACTGCTCCCTCCACGTACCCAGCTTAAGTGAGTCAGAGGGACGGGGCTGACCGTCGGGGCTCCCTGGAGGTTGACTGAACCCCCCGAGTCACAGCAGCTAGGGAGCGTGGTCCCACAGGGTCCTTGGGAATACAGATACCTGAGCGATTCTGGTTGGGGTTCTTACCTGGGGACAACTTAAACAGCATTACAACCTACCTTCTGCTTTTGTTTGGGGACTTTTTAGGTCAGGTGCAGAGCAGAAAGTGCATAGAAGAAGTGATTCACTTTGCCTGGGAAGAGAAGCTCTTTCTCCTGGCTGATGAGGTAAGAGCAGCCTTGGCTCTCAGAGGTGAGGGTGCGCTTTCTCTTCTGGGAGAGGGAGCCAGGCCTGGTTTTTCTATAGCCAGAGAGAATTTTCTAGGTGTTGGAAGAGAGATTCTAACAAGGTTGAGGATGTTCGGTGTTACACCCTGTGTGACTGACCAAAAATCATCCCAACATTGGTTTGGAATCTTGGTTATAAGTTTCAGAAATCTAACCCAAACTACTTTAAACTTGAAAAGTAAAAAGGTGGTAGGATCTCAGGAGTGGGGCTGGATCCAGGGACTCAGACCACATCTTCCACCTCCTTTCATTCCATCCTGCTGCCTTGGCCTCACACACGGGCCTGCTATCTTCGCAGTCTAGAAAGAGAGCATTTCTTCCTGGTGGTTCCAGCAAAAGTCTCAGAATTGAGCTTCACTGGTGCAGCTTGGGTCAAACACCCATTGCTGAGCCAATTACTGTGGCCCCGTGGTTGCAATATGCAAACTGACCAGGCCTGGGCACGGGGCAGTGTCTCTGCCCGGTGCCCCCAAACCTGCAGAGAGCGGGGAGGGGGGGTCGTGTTCACTGAGGCAAATTCAGGGCCTCTTTCTCAAGCAGGGAAAGTGGGTGCTAGGTGGGCCTGATGCTATGTCCTGTGAGGAGGGGAGTCTTAATTAACCCCCCACAGCTGCTGCTTCTTGAACCCCAGTTCTGGAGACAAGGCATGCCCATTCTTTTCCTGCAAGGAAAGAAATGAAAGACCCGTCATATCCTGTTTTCATTTCTTCATTGCTGCATGATTTCTAGTTAGTCGTAACTTCTAACACACAAGCTTCATTTCTTTGCTTCTCAGCACCCGCACCGCCCCGCCCCACACACAGAGCTTACCCACCAAATTGTTGCCGTGATTAATAGCAGATGGACCTAAAATGTTCATTTCTATAGGAAAGAACGTACAGCAGAGTGACCTGGTGCACAAACCTCTTCCCTCGGGGTCTGGGAATGGAGGGGTGGGGGAGAAGGAAGCTCTGCCTGGCTTGTTGAAGGTGCAGCTGGCTTGACCCTCCTGCTGACCCACAGCACTCCAGAGAGCCTCGGTTTCCCTGATGTCCAAACTGGGTATGGGACGCTCATCTCCAAGGGCAGATGGGACGCTTGCCTGCGGCGCGCTAGACTGTGTGGGGACAGGGAGGCGCTGCTCCGTCCAGTGTGGGGGCTGCTCGCTCCAGTGTGGGGGCTGCTGGGTCCAGTGTGGGTGCTGTTTGGTCCAGTGTCGGGGCTGTTTGGTCCAGTGTGGGCGCTGTTTGGTCCATTGTGGGGGCTGCTGGGTCCAGTGTGGGGACTGCTGGGTCCAGTGTGGGGGCTGTTTGGTCCAGTGTGGGGGCTGCTGGGTCCAGTGTGGGCGCTGTTTGGTTCATTGTGGGGGCTGCTGGGTCCAGTGTGGGCGCTGTTTGGTCCATTGTGGGGGCTGCTGGGTCCAGTGTGGGGGCTGTTTGGTCCAGCGTGGGTGCTGTTTGGTCCAGTGTGGGGGCTGTTTGGTCCAGTGTGGGGGCTGCTGGGTCCAGTGTGGGTGCTGTTTGGTCCAGTGTGGGGCTGTTTGGTCCAGTGTAGGTGCTGTTTGGTCCAGTGTGGAGTTGTTTGGTCCAGTGTAGGGGATGCTGGGTCCAGTGTGGGGCTGTTTGGTCTAGTGTGGGGCTGTTTGGTCCAGTGTGGGTGCTGTTTGGTCCAGTGTGGGGGCTGCTGGGTCCAGTGTGGGCGCTGACAGCAATGGTGGACAGAGAGCTGGGTGAGTGCCGTGACGTGCGGAGGGTACACAGTTAGCACTTCAGGTGCGGAGGTCAGGACAGGTACATGAACTGCTTTCACCACTCATCTTATTGACGGAAGTGAGCGTCACACTCCGGGAGGAAACCTGCTTGGGCAAGTGGGGTACTTGATGTCATCACTGGCACATGAGGCAGAAAGGAGATCTGGAGACTGGGTGGGAGAATCCAGTGGGCATGCATCCCGAGGCCTTCCCTCCTTGCTCTTCTGTAAGGTTCCCTCAGGCATGTCTGGCTTGGCAGTGGTGTCCGAGGCTGGGCTTCACAGCAGGCTGCCTGGCTGCAGTTTGGCCTGGAGCACCCGTGCCCTCCCTCAGCCGGCACCTAGGTGGCTCAGGCTTCTGGGGGACTTGCGATGACTGTCTCCATCCCGTCCCCTCCTGCAGGTGTACCAGGACAACGTGTACTCTCCAGACTGCAGATTTCACTCCTTTAAGAAGGTGCTTTACGAGATGGGGCCCGAGTACTCCAGCAACGTGGAACTCGCCTCCTTCCACTCCACCTCCAAGGGCTACATGGGCGAGTATGTGGGCCCCCACCTCCCTCCCGCTGCCCCTGGGCCTGCTTGGTCCCTGTGCTTCTCCGCTCTGCCCCACCTCAGTCTGCTGGACAGAGACAACTGCCCTTATCCACCGACTCTGCTGATCTAAGAAGCAGGAGGAGACAGACCACACCTCCCCAAAGGGAGCATGGTGGTGTGAGGACAGACCTTGTGCAAGGGCTCGTGTAAAATAAGGCTGTGATGAAAATGAAAACAGGACCTCACAGCAGCTTCCAACGCTAGTGTTTTCTGCCAGCCATGTCGCTGTTGCTCTGACAGTGACTGAACTCTGAGGGCCAGGGAAGGCAGGTTGAGTGGACAAATGCTGTCAGGCCAGTAGGGCAAGCTCTGTGTGCAGGAGCTCTGTATGCACCCTGCCTCAGCACTATGTGACCTCTGGGGCCAGAGTCAGCTTCAATCCTGTATTCATTCATTCAGCTAATATTTATTGAGCACATGCTATGAGTCCAGTACTGATCTCGGCACTGAGGTTATAGCAGTGAGCAAACCACAGCCATCCCTGCCCTCACAGAGTTATGCTTTAGTGAGGAGAGAGAGGCAATAGACAAACGAATATCACATGTCAAGTGGGCAAAAATAATTAGAGAAGAGATGGGAATGCCGAGAGGTGGGGTCTGGTCACTGAGGAGTTGGCTTTTGAGTTAAGACCCAAGGGAGGGGTTGTGGGGAGCTACACAGATGTCTGAGGAAAGAGCATTCCAGACAGAGGGAACAGCACATGCAAAGGCCCTGAGGTGGAAGGAGCAGCTGTTTGAGGAGTGGCAAGGAGACTAGAAAGGAGTGAGAGAGAAAGTGGCAGAAGTTGCGACCAAAAAAAGTCATAGGAGGCCAGATCACCCGAGCTACTTAGGTTATTTTTTACTTTTACTCAGAGTGAGATGGGAACCCTTGGAGGGTTTACACAGAGGTGTGACTTCTCCTGACTTATGTTTTACCAGATTCTCTGGTTGCTGTGTGATGAGGGTAGGGACAGAAGTGGGCATTCGAGTCAAAAGGCTGTTATGGTCCAGGGGAGATATCATGGGCCAGGGTAGAGGTGGGGAGAAGATGTTTGATCTTGGATATGTTTGAAGGTAGAGTTGACAGGTGTTGCTTGATGGAAAAGGTGGGTGTGAGAGAGGGAAGTCTCGGATGATTCCCAAGTTTTTTGTTCAAACAGCAGGAAGGATAGAGTTGCCATCAATAGATGAGGATTGCTGTTTGTGAAGCAGGTTTTGGGGTAAAATTAGAAGTTGGTTTTGGATGTGTAGAATTTGCAGATGCCTATTGGATGTCCAGATGGAGATGGATGTGTGAGTCTGCAGCTCAGGGCTGATATCCAGCTGGAGATTAAAGTTTATGAGATGTCAATGTATGAGTTGTTAGACAGATCTCTGAGCCTGGATGTCTCACCAGGGGTGAGTACAAATAGAGAAGAGGTCCAAGGACTGGGCCCAGGCCCTCCCTGCTCAGCAGTTAGGGGAGGAGAGGAGGAGCCTACAAACTAGACTGAGATGGAAAGGCCAGTGTATTTACAGCTAAGGACATTCATTCCCCAGCGTTGTGGGAGTTCTGCTTTATGCCAGGTGTCAGGAGGAGGTGTGCAGGCCAGTGTAACTGCGAAGCTTCAAGAAATATTTTAGCCAGGTCAAGGGAGCTGTCCCCTTGGGATGGTCACCCAACTGTTCTTGGCTATATTTGATGTGGGCAGGGGTTGATCTATGCTGGTCTTTCTGGTCTACCCCAGTAGTGATGCTGTCTCCTTGCTAGGCTTTCATGTGTTGTGTAGCTCTTTTCCTAAACAAATATGTTCTCCATGAACTCATTTTTCAAACTCAAGTGTGTTTGTCACATACCCACCCATCTTTCCATCTGTGTTACTGATGACTGTTTTAATGGTAATACCCTGGATGTTGGTAACCTGAGGTGGTATCCTGTTGCCCTCAGATCCTGATTACCTAGGATCAGACTGATTTGCCCAATTTGATATTCTGCTCTTCAGCAGAGAATAAAGCAGAAAGTTTCTTCTTTCAACTTTGTTACAGGAAACATTTCCGAGATGCCAGAATTTATCTTCCCGCATTGGAAAAGCGAGTTGAGGGATCACATGGGGATCTGTCTCTGCCAGTTCATTCTGCAGCCTGATCCCAAAAGTGTTTTATCGAGTGTCTCATCGTATCAGGTGCTCTGAGGTTGTGTGGGTGTGGTACACGTACAGAGGAAGGCAGGAGCTGGTGCCTGCGTTTCTGTGCTTATTAGTCTGAATGTTATCAATCACAGTCCAGAAAGTGTGGCTGATGGAGCTGACTTCGTTCTGAAAGGTTTTTGTTTTTGTTTTTGACTGTATGATCTCAGCTTATTTTCATGAGATTTGACTGTATATCAGTCAGGATGCTTTTGGAAATACGTAACAGAAACTCAAGTTGAACTGGCCTACATCAAAGAGGCTTTTTAAAAAATCCATATCAGGGCACTTCCCTGGTGGTCCAGTGGTAAAGAATCTGCCTTACAGGGACTTGCCTGGTGGCACAGTGGTTAAGAATCCACATGCCAGTGCAGGGGACGTGGGTTCGATTCCCTGGTCAGGGAAGATCCCACATGCCGCAGAGCAACTAAGCCCGTACGCCACAACTACTGAGCCTGTGCTCTAGAGCCCTCGAGCTGCAATACTGAAGCCCGCACACCTAGAACCTGTGCTCCACAACAAGAGAAGCCACCACAATGAGAAGCCCGCACACTGCAGTAAAGAGTAGCCCCCCTCACCGCAACTAAAGAAAGCCTGCGTGCAGCAATGAAGACCCAACACAGCCAAAAATAAAATTAAAAAATAAAGTAAAATAAAGAATCCGCCTTACAATGCAGGGTACGTGGGTTTGATTCCTAGCCAGGGAACTAAGATCCCACATGCCATGGGGCAACTAAGCCCACGCGCCACAACTACTGAGTTTGCACGCCTCAACTAGAGCCCACGTACCACAAACTACAGAGCCCACGCGCCACAACTAGAGAGAAAACCCGCACGCCACAACTAGAGAGAAGCCCATGCGCCGCAATGAAAGATCCCACACGCCTCAACGAATATCCCACGTGCCGCAACTAAGACCTGACGGAGCCAAAAATAAAGTTAAATAAATAAGTAAATAATAAATCTTAAAAAAAATTTTTTTTAATCTTTATCAGTAAAAAGTCAAGGAGGGCTTCCCTGGTGGTGCAGTGGTTGAGAGTCCGCCTGCCGATGCATGGGACACGGGTTCGTGCCCCGGTCCGGGAAGATCCCACATGCTGCAGAGCAGCTGGGCCTGTGAGCCATGGCCGCTGAGCCTGCGCATCTGGAGCCTGTGCTCCGCAACGGGAGAGGCCACAGCAGTGAGAGGCCTGTGTATCGCAAAAAAAAAAAAGTCAAGGAGTGGACTTCCCTGGTGGTGCAGTGTTTAAGAATCCGCCTGCCAGTGCAGGGGACACAGGTTTGAGCCCTGGTCTGGGAAGATCCCACATGCTGCAGAGCAACTAAGCCCATGCACCACAACTACTGAGCATGTGCTCTAGAGCTCGCGAGCCACAACTACTGAAGCCCGCACACCTAGAACCCGTGCTCTGCAACAAGAGAAGCCACCACAATGAGAAGCCTGCGCACCGCAACGAAGAGTAGCCCCTGCTCACCGCAGCTAGAGAAAGCCCGCACACAGCAACAAACACCCAACGCAGCCAAAAAAAAAATAAAAAGTAAATAAAATTTAAAAAGTCAAAGAGTAAAGTTTAATCAGGGGGCTTAAAAGTGTCACCAGATCTCTTTCTGCTTTGTGGCCTTGTCTTGTTTTCTTTCTCAGCTCTGCTTTCCTTTGTTTTGGCCACACTGCCTGGCTTGTGGGGTCTTAGTTCCCTTACCAGGAATTGAACCCTGGCCCTCGGCGGTGGAAGTGCCAAGTCCTAACCACTGGACCGCCAGGGAATTCCCTGCTTTGCTCTCCTTTGGGTTGGCTTTGTTTTCAGGCATCAGAAAGTTCTAGCCAAATCCTCAGGCTACTGCTCACATGCCCACCCCTTGAACCTGTGCAGGGGGTGCCCAGCCTGAATCACATGCCCCTTTGGAGCAGGGCTAGCATATAAGTTAAGAGTCAGGCTAAGCTGCTCTAACCAAAAGGCCCCAAAATACAGTGGCTCAAACAAGATGGAAGTGTGTCTCTGTGATAACAGCCCAAAGGTAGGGGGAGTCCAGGACTGGCTCTGCCCCGTGAGGTCATTCAGAGATGGGCTGGTGGGCTGGCCCTGTTTTCTCAACATGGGGCACTGAGGCTGCTGCTCTGGTGTGTGCATTCCTCAGGAAGTGGGGAAAGGGAGAGAGGAAGGAGAGAGCATGCTTTTAAGGAAGTGATGTGGAATTTACACATATCACTCCCTTTCACTTTCCACTGGCAAGAACTCAGCCACACCTGGAAACTCAGTGTTGGGCATGGGGATGTTTACAGAAGATTCTGGCCGGCTGGATGCACTTAGTAGAGGTCTCTCTGTGACTGGTGGGTCCTGTCCCTGTCTTCAACCTTTTAGGTGTGGCTACAGAGGAGGCTACATGGAGGTGATCAACCTGCACCCTGAGATCAAGGGCCAGCTGGTAAAGCTGCTCTCGGTGCGTCTGTGCCCGCCAGTGTCTGGGCAGGCTGCCATGGACATCGTTGTGAACCCCCCGGTGCCAGGAGAGGAATCCTTCGAGCAGTTCAGCAGGGTGAGTCAGCTTGTCCCACGGCCTGTCTGCATCACTCCTGTGGCCAGTGTTCACCATGTATTGTCTCAATGGCCAGCCTCTGTCTAGATGGCCTCCCGGGGGTGCTCGTGGTTCCACGTGGCGCCTGACTCACCCCAATGAGGTTAAGTCTCAGGATGCAGCTGGGCTGTATTTGAAGTGGGAGGACTGTTGCATGTCGGGGGGGGCGGGGTGCACACCTTCCTGTTTCTCGCCTGTGAGCACCACAGATGGGCAGGCACCCAGAGGGAATGGCCTTGTGTCCTGAGAACACCCTGGGTGGGAGTGGGAGGGGAATGATTCTGTTACTAAACTAAAAGGGGGAGATGGATGAGCATGGCATTGATTCTAGACCACGGGCCACAGCTGCAGGCTGTCCTTGCAGCTTGAAGTGATGCAGTCAAACCTTTTTAACTGCAAGTGAGAAAAACCCAACTCTAAGTAGTTTAAACAGAAATGGAATTTATTGGTCATATAACCAAGAAGTCAGTTCCCAGCTGTTCTAGATTCACAACCTTTTTTAAAAATTGTGGTAAGATACACAGAACATGCAATTTACCATTTGGATCATTTTTAACTGAACAGTTTAATGCATAAAGTACACTCATTGTTGTGCAACCATTACCACCGTCCATCTCCAGGAACTTTTCATCATCCCAGACTGAAGCTCTGTACCCATTAAACAATAACTCCTCATTTCCCCCTCTCCCCCAGCCCCTGGTAACCTCTACTCTACTCTCTATGAATATGACTACTCTAGGTACCTCATATACAGCGTTTGTCTTCTTGTGACTTTATTTCAATTAGCATGATGTCCTCAGGGTTTATCCCTGTTGTGGCATGTGTCGGACTGTGCCTCCTGTTTAAGGCTGAGTGACATTCCCCTGTGTGTACATTCTACGTTTTGCTGATCCGCTCATCCGCAGGCCACAGCTCTTCACCCACACATTCCAGTAGTACTTGCAGAAGTGCTGGACTGCTTGCTCCAGCTTTGGACACATGTCCAGCTCTGAGCCTGTCACTGATGTGCTTTGCCTGGATCACGTGCCCCAAACACACCACATGGATTGGGGGAAGGGTGACTCCCCAAAATGAAGTGGTGGGGCTGTCTCCTAGAAGCATGTTCTAGGGTGTTCCATCCAGGCCCAAGTTCATTCAGACCAATGGGCAGGGACTGGTTTTTCTCATTTTCAGGAATGACATCCTGGTACAAGAGTAGAACCCATGGGCTTCCCTGGTGGCGCAGTGGTTGAGAGTCCGCCTACCGATGCAGGGGACACGGGTTCGTGCCCCGGTCTGGGAAGATCCCACATGCCGTGGAGCGGCTGAGCCCGTGAGCCATGGCCGCTAAGCCTGGGCGTCCGGAGCCTGTGCTCCGCAACGGGAGAGGCCACAATAGTGAGAGGCCCGCGTACCGCAAAAAAAAAAAAAAAAAAAGAGTAGAACCCATGACACAGGCTACCTAGGACCTACCTGTGGCCCGTGTGCTCCTGCCCCAGGGCACATGGCAGCCTCATGGGCTGAGCGTCTATGGAAGAAGTTCCTGCAGAGGGACGTGTGTTTCGCCCACCTCCCCCATTTGCTGTGCTTATGCACACGCAAGCTCACCTTCACCAGTCTGCCCTGACGCCCCAGTTTGAAGGGATAGTTTCCAGGGTCTGGAGCCATGATGTCCAGAGATGCTAACTCCTGTGCTTTCTCTGTCTCATCAGGAGAAAGAGTCCGTCTTGGGTAATCTGGCCAGAAAAGCTAAGCTGACAGAAGACCTGTTTAACCAAGTCCCAGGAATTCACTGCAACCCCTTGCAGGGGGCCATGTACGCCTTTCCTCGAATCTTCATCCCTGCCAAAGCCATGGAGGCAGCTCAGGTCAGGGGTGCCAGGTCAGGGCTGGCTCTCTCACTGGGTTCACATGGGACTGCTTCTTGCCATGAGGAGCTAAAGTGTTGGCCCTAGAGGCTCTGAACTTTGTGTATCCGTTGGTCAGATGGTACTTAGTGTGTAAAGATGACGGGCTCTCAGAGACCCAGCCCTGCAGCATGCTGTGTTGATGCGGCAGGTGTGAGGCCGGCCCCAGGTGAGCGGTGTGCTGAAGGCAGGTGCCCACATGTGATATGATGCATTTAAAACTGAACAGAGGGCTTCCCTGGTGGCGCAGTGGTTGAGAGTCCGCCTGCCGATTCAGGGAACACGGGTTCGTGCCCCAGTTCAGGAAGATCCCACGTGCCGCGGAGCGGCTGGGCCCGTGAGCCATGGCCGCTGAGCCTGCGCGTCCGTTGCCTGTTGAACAGATGCTGGGGAAGCATCAAGAGCAGTCTCTCACCTGGCCACAGTACCCTAGAGCAGCGCTTCTCAGACTTGAGTGTGTACGTGGATCACCTGGGGTCCTGTTAAAAATGCCGATACTGGTTCAAGAAATCTTTGGAGGGGCCCAAGATTCTGCGTTTCTAGTAAGTTCTCAGGTGGTGCCACAGACCCTGGTTTGAGGATCAAGGGCCAGAGCCGTATCTCTGAAAGTGTCCTTCTACCTGCTTACCTCCTCGATACCTTGTTAAACATTCAAAATCTGGCCCCACCCCTCAGCCGATTGAATCAGAATTTCTGGTGTTGGAGCCTGAGAACCTATTTAACAGGTGGCCTGGTTGTGCAAATCGAAGTGTGAGAAGCACCAACAGTAGGGCCCCTGAGAGGCTTGTTCCTTGAGGCCCCCTGGGCAGAGACCTCAGGGCCCTGGCTTGGCGTATAGGACACAGCCAATGCTTGTGGAGCTGCTCCGTGGGGGTAGGGTACACAGGCAACAGGCTGGCACTCCCCACTGGAGAGCAGAAGCCCCGCAGCCCATGGCTGTCCCACAGTGGCCTTTGGGTTCTTTGTTCCTGGCCCCAGCTGCTTACAGCACCCAGCATCCTGCCTTGGTTCTCACAGGAAGGGAGGGCAGAAGGGCCCTGCCATGGGAAAGAACCTGCCATCTCAAGTGTATTTGGCTTTGAGATTGTAATGTTTGTACAGTGCGAAACCAGGAATGAATCCTAAGTTCTGTCCCACTCCCACAGGCCCATAAGATGGCCCCCGACATGTTCTACTGCATGAAGCTCCTGGAGGAGACAGGCATCTGTGTCGTGCCCGGCAGTGGCTTTGGGCAGAGGGAAGGCACCTACCACTTCAGGTACCACTTCCTCTGCACCGGCGGGCTGGTCCCGGGTTTGTCTTGGGAAACTTGGGCTTCTTAACATCAAGGCACCTACAGAGACTGGGATGTGTGGAGCCCCTGTCCCCCCATCCCACTCCCATTCTGTCCTGCTGCAGAGGTAGCTGAGACCCTGCGCCAGGGACTAAGGAAGACTGTGGGCGACGCCAAGGTCATCTCCTTGACTGCTCTGTCTCCCCTCCACTGCCCCCATCTATCATATGCCGTCTGCAGTGTTCCCGTGCTATGTTTTCTTTTCCTTCCCCTGTCCCTTTTCAACTCTGTGATGGTATCATACAGCATCCAGGAGCTCAATAGCTTGTCCATTGCACCAAAAGCCTGCTGAGATGTTGCCTCTGAGACATGGTGGAATTGCTGTGCCTCCTTTCACAGGCATGTGACTCTGCTGGGCGAGCCGGAGCAGGTCAGCCAGGTCTTCCGCTGAGGCCAGTTCTGTTCCAAACAGCACCCTCTCCATGCGCAGCACTCTCAGATGTTTCCTGCAGCAGATGCTAAAAAAAGAAATGTCATGGGCTTAGCACCTGGGGCTAAGTCTTGAGGCAGTGAAGGTTGTGGGTAGGGCCCCACCCCCCACCCCCCCGCAGTGGACAAACATGTGTGGGTGGTGTGGATGGCCTTTCCACCCTTGTTGGGTTCACCTTGGCAATTCACAGGTCATTCAAGAGGTGGTTACTTCTCGAGGGCTGCCCTTAAGGCTGGGAAGCAGGCTGACCGTATTGGAGGGAGGAGTTAGTTACCATGGCAATGTGGGAATTCCTGTGGAGGAAAGTTATGACTGGAGGTTCTCACTGTGAGACTGATGGTGGAGATGGAAAAGGCCTGTCTAGCAGGAATGGAGTCTCGCTCTGTAGCCATAGAAAATACCAAGAGTCGTGCGCTGGAGAAAGTTCTATGCACCTGTCAGAGTGTTGGGCAGACCTTCTGTGATTATGGGTGGATGTGTTAGTGAGCTGAGATGCTGCCACCAGCTTATTGCTTTTGTTCACATATACGAGTTGGGTAAAAAAATGTGTGAATGGTGGGAGAAAGTGGTTCAACAAGTACTAGGTGCTGTCCAGAGCCTGGAGCCATCGCAGTGGACAAGACAGGCCTGTCCCTCCCCACACAACTTGCCCGCACCACCTGGTCTCTGCAGCTGCAGGTGGAGGAGTGACCTGCCAGGTTCACTTCTCTCCCCTTTTCCAGAGCCACTTGTCTCTGACTGACGCTGTTCTCTTTCCTGACAGAATGACCATTCTTCCTCCGGTGGAGAAGCTAAAGACGGTTCTACAGAAGGTGAAGGACTTTCACATAAAGTTCCTGGAGAAGTACGCGTGACGACTCCTCAGGCCCCAGAGGGAGACCTGGCCCTCAGCCTTCCTCCTGATGCCCACCCAGCCCAGACTGGATTCGCCCCCCCAGCGACTCCGCCTCAGGCCTTACGAAGGCCACTGGTCGCTTTCATCGTCATTTTGCCCCAGGAGACTTCTTTCTTTGTGCCTTGATGTTGGGAGCACCTCTCTTCTGAGCAAATGTGAATTGGGGTTGTCTCAGAAGCCCTGTTTTTTGATGCAACCAAAGTAGAGGGGACTTGCTCAGCATATATGGTGGTGTTCTCTGAATCTGTTGTTGTTGCTTTTGGAAAAGTCTTTTGGGGTTGAAACAACCAGGGTGTGTTGGGTGAGCTGTTTCAGATCTGGAGAAACAAGGTGTCGGGAAATGTATAACTTAACCATGGTGAGGACTGGAAATCACAAACTCACCACCATGATCTGTGAAATAAAACCTTTAGCAGTATGAAAATCTAGTCCTTCAAACAGGAGAGCCTAGAGTCCACTGGAGGCTCCGAGAGGGCCCGCCCTTCTGACCTGGAGGCAGGCAGCCTGCTCTCAGACAAGAATGGTAAGGGCAGCAGCACACGGGGCTGGACCGCATGCCAGACTAGGTGGTGGCGGGCAGCGGGGGCTATGGCCAAGGTCAGAGGGTCCTGCAGGGGAGGAGTGGGTGTGAGCCAGGCTCCGATTTGAACCGGGCCTCCACGTGGGAGCACACAGCAGGTAGTGAGGACTCTGCACACACGAGGGCTTTGGGTGAAGGGTTCTCTTGGGCACGCTTAGGCTGGGACGCCCGTCCAGGGATCTCCTTGGACTCCAGGGGCACAGGGTTCAGCCCAGCAATATCCCAGTCACGTAGAGGGATTCTACCTGGTGGTGTGTGGATCCATCCCACTGTTACCCAGCAAACAAGCAGTCTCATCCAAGGGCTTGAGTGAGCCTTTAGGTGATAGTAGGGCAAGGAAACACCGAAAATGTCCTAGTGAGGGAGGGGTATCCTTAAGGACATGAAGACAGTTAAACCACACACCCTTCCCATAGTGTTTGTTGAGTTGTTTCAAGCGGAATTTGGTCCATTTCCTAGCTCTTAATTGGTCAAAGTGCCTGGTAGCGTGGCTGCTGTGTACATGTGATCCGATTCAAAGTTTATAGAAGTATTTTACCTTATATGCAAAGTGTTTTGCCTCCACATCTGCTTCTGGCTCCCCTCCCAGACTCTGCAGACTGTCCTGTAGCATCAGTCATCTCTCGGGGGGGGGGGGGGGAGTTGGGGGATCATCCACCAAGTGCACAGTTTCCCTGGTATGAGCAAACCTGGGTGCAGGGCCCAACCTGTGCCCCCAGAAAGTGGGCACTACGGGTGGCAGCAGGCTTACGCCCTCTTTTCCTACTGTGGGCCTTCCCTGGTGGGCAGTTAGGGAAGCCAAGGCCAGCTCAGGAGTCTGGGGATCCAGCAAGTCCCAAAGTGGAATTGAAGGGACTGGAGAGAAATCTGAAAAGACTAAAGGAGTGAGCTTTGAAAGCAGCCTCCTGTGCTATAATTCCCATGCCGGGTCCATGCAGGGGATGCAATAGGAAACTTCAAACTGTCCTTACCACTAGCATTACAGTCCCTATGAAGAAAGTAGCCACAATCTCAAGTAACAAAGGGAATGTTTGGGGACTTTTTCTTCCTTAAAAATTTGAGAAAATTGCACTTGTGCTTGTTGATGGTATAAAAACCAGGATGTGTCCCAGAGTTGTGAGATTTCTGGTGGAAAGGTTAAATAGTAGAAGCTAGTATATTTTTTATATTTTTGTAACAATTGCTTTTTTCATGGGGGGTGGGGTAGGGTTAGTATTTGTAGTTTTAACAAGTCCAGTAGTTTTTTTAATAAATCTCTTCAGATTATAAATAACCCCTAAAAACTTTGCAATGTTTACATGATTTTTTAAAAAAGATGTCATATACACTTGGTTTGGTTTTAAAATAAATGAGTAAAAACTTAATAAGGTCAGCTGGTTTAGGAGGTTAACTTCATTCAGGTAGGAACGCTGATCATGATAGATTTGATTTTCTGCAGATTCTGATGTCTTGTTTGGGCACCACCAGAGTAAGTCGTTTGTCATTTGAGGTTGCACTTTAAATCCACACCTGTGAAGTTTTCTGCTGTTCATCTAGATCTGCCTGTGGGGATGCTGGGCTATACCTTGTTGGTCCATCACCTTGCACCTTGAGGCCGGACTGGTTGTCCCCATGTTTGTGGATTTGCAGGAAGAGCTGACAGGCCTGCCTGTCCCTGTTTGCCGTTCTGGATTCTCGTAGGCATCTCCTGACAAAGGTACTTCGTGATAAGCTCTGGTGGAAATTTCTGAACAATAAAATATATGTCCAAAATGGTGACTGTGTTTAACTTGCTTTGTAGTTTAAATCTAAATATCAAGCGGACATCACTAATTGTATATCTTCACTCTTATGTTCATTCTTATGTTCCTAAGTCACAGCTTTTCAGTTTCCATTTCTTCTTAGGTGTCAACTCCAAGGACGCTGGGCTGCTTTTTATTGCTTGAGGTGGGGAAACTTCACCGATTCTTTAGAATGTTGTTCAAATGAAAACAGACCTTGATTTTCTAGTGGAAGTGAAACAGGAACTAGCAGCTTCTTCGCAGGGGGCAGGGGAGGGCAGGCAGGCAGGGAGAGCCAGAGAAGCAGTCCTGAGGCCAGTGGGGAAAGGGGAGCTGCCTATACAAGCGATTTCATTCATTTCCCTAGCCTTTCCCAGATCCATGTCAATGTTAAAGTGTGGTTCTCGGATTCAGAACTTTATTTTTCACTTAAAACAGAAACGTCTGTCTTTATTATAGAAAATTTGGAAAATATATTTTTTAAAAAATAGGATTCTTTCAGGAGGAAGACATGGAAACCTACTCAAAGTAGCTTCAGCAGAAGAGAATTTATTGTGTCATGTAAGAGGAATTTATTGAAATCCTGGAGGGATGCTGACTTTAGTTTTGATGTGCACTGTTAAGTGCAAAGCCTGCCTGTCCATCTGTCCAGTTCTGCTTCGAAAAATCCCACGGAGGGGCTCTGCCTTGGTCCACATGCCCTTCTCTGAACAGTCACTGTGGCCCTTGAGAATAGAGTCCTTTGGCTGGCCCTGTGCATGAGCAGTGGTAGAGGAGGGTCTAGAATGGCCAGACCCATCAGGGCCATTGGAGGAGAAGCTGCTCCCCACAGAAATGGGGGCTGGAGGTGGTGCCACACCCACAAACCTCATTTAACCACAGGTGGCTCTTTAGAGAGGGGCTCGGGAAGGAGGCGGTGTGTTCAAGGCAGGTTGAAAGTCATTACTGGTTGATAACCAAGGGGACTGAAGATGCTCTGCACACACACACTGTACACACACATACACACACACACACAGGGACATGTGCATCTCCTTGTCTGGGGAGCAAACTTGGTGTAGTTTATTCTACAAAGATTTTATTAAATAGACAAGGATGGGGAAATACAGTAATTATTCTAGACTATTTTTGGTATAGTGTTTGCTGTAAACACACCTAGAAAGCTTTCAAGTGTTTGATTTGAAAGCATAAGCCACAGACTTCTAGGGAATGGGGAATCAGAAGCTAATAAGATGTGGTCACTGTCCTCAAAAAGCCTACAGATGGAATGGCCACCAGATGGTTCAGTGCTCAAATCCCATCCACCCAACAGGGCTGGGCTTAAAAGAATGTGGGTGACGCAAAGGAGGGAGGGGCTGATGCTGTTCTCTACCTAGCTGGGAGTGCCTCTACCTACCTCTACTCTTTCCACAATGCCTTCTGAGGTCTTCCATATATCTTCCTTTTGGGCTTCATCCTGCCACCGAGCCAGGAGACCCCTCAAGAAAAAGAAAGATGAAACTCACTGCCAGACACCCACCCAACTCTCTTCCTTAAGAGGACATGTCAGTTAGAGTTTCCTATTTCATTCTCCCACTTGAAAAAATAAGAGGCACCCACACACCTATGGTCAATCAATCTATGGCATAGGGGCAAGAATGTACAATGGAGAGAAGACAGTCACTTCAATAAGTGGTGCAGGGAAAACTGGACAGCTACATGTAAAACAGTGATTAGAACATTTCTTCCCTCACGCCACCTACAAAAATAAACCCAAAATGGATTAAAGACCTAAATGGAAGACCCAAAACCATAAAACTCCTAGAAGAGAATGTAGGCAGTACATTTTTTTTTTTTTCGTTACACGGGCCTCACTGTTGTGGCCTCTCCTGTTGCGGAGCACAGGCTCCGGACGAGCAGGCCCAGCGGCCATGGCTCACGGGCCCAGCTGCTCCATGGCATGTGGGATCTTCCTGGACCGGGGCACGAACCCGTGTCCCCTGCATCGGCAGGCGGACTCTCAACCACTGCACCACCAGGGAAGCCCGGCAGTACATTCTTTGACATAAATCGTAGCAATATTTCTTTGGATCTCTCTCTCAAGGCCAAAGAAATAAAAGCAAAAATAAACAAATTGGCCTTAATTAGACTTCAAAGTTTTTGCACAGCAAAGGAAACCATTTGCAAAATGAAAAGAACATACTGACTAGGAGAAAATATTTGCAAATGACCTGACTGACAAGGGGTTAATATCCAAAATCAGCTCATACAGTTCAAGGTTAAAAAAAAAAAAAAAAAAAAGCCAATCAAAAAATGGGCAGAAAACCTGAATAGACATTTTTCCAAAGAAGACGTAACAGATGGCTAACAGGCACATGAAAAGATGCTTGATGTCGCTAATTATTAGAGAAAGAAAGAAAAAAAATACCACCTCACACTGGTCAGAATGGCTATCATCAAAAAGTCTACAAATAACAAATTCTGGAGAGGGTGCAGGGAAAAGGGAACCCTGCTACACTATTGGTGGGAATGTAAATTGATACAGCCACTATGGAGACAGTATGGAGGTTCCTCAAAAACTAAAAATAGAACTACCATATGATCCAACAATCCCACTCTTGGGTATATACCTGGAAAAAATGAAAACACTCATTCACAAAGATACATGCATCCCAATGTTCATTGCAGCACTGTTTACAATAGCCAAGACATGGAAACAATCCAAGTGCCCATCATCAGAAGATTGGCTTAAGAAGATGTTGTATATATACATACATACACACGATGGAATACAGCCATAAAAAAGAATGAAATAATGCCATTTGCAGCAATGTGGATGGACCTAGAGAATATCATACGAAGTGAAGTAAGTCAGAGAAAGACAAATTGTGTATTGCATCACTTATACGTGAAATCTAAAAAATGAATGTGTATAGCAAAACAGTATCATATAGAAAACAAACTACTGGTTACTAGTGGGGAGAGGGAAAGGGGAAAGGACATGATAGGAGTATGGGATTAAAAGATACAAACTACTATATATAAAGTAGATAAGCAACAGGGATATATTGTACAGCAGAGGGAACTATAGTCATTATTTTGCAGTAACTTTTAATGGAGTATAATCTATTAAAATACTGAGCCACTATGCTGTACGCCTGAAAGTAATATAATATTGTAAATCAACTACAATTTAAAAAAAGAATCTGTCACTAAAAAAATTAGAAGATATAGAGTCGTCCCTTAGTATCCATGGGGGATTGGTCCCAGGATCTCCCAGGATACCAAAACCTGAGGATGCTCAAATACCTTATATAAAATGGTACAGTATTTGCATATAACTCACACATATTCTTCCATATACTTTAAATCATCTCTACATCACTTATAATACCGAATACAATGTAAATGCTACATGAATAGTTGTAAATACAATGTATATAGTGGCTGGTGTGTGGCTAATTCAACTTTTGCTTTTTGGAATTTTCTGAAAAAAATGTTTTTTGATTTGAGGTTGGTTCAATTCACAGATATGAAGGGCTGACTCTCATGTTTTTGTGGGTTTTTTTTTTTTAACATCTTTATTGTGGTATAATTGCTTTACAATGGTGTGTTAGTTTCGGCTTTATAACAAACTGAATCAGTTATACATATACATATGTTCCCATATCTCTTCACTCTTGCGTCTCCCTCCCTCCCACCCTCCCTATCCCACCCTTCCAGGTGGTCACAGAGCACCGAGCTGATCTCCCTGTGCTATGCGGCTGCTTCCCACTAGCTATCTACCTTACGTTTGGTAGTGTATATATGTCCATGCCTCTCTCTCGCTTTGTCACAGCTCACCCTTCCCCGTTTTTTTTTTTTAATCTCCTCCCCAGTTTCGTCTGCTTTGCTCTGAATGCATAACCTTGAAGTCCTTTTGAAGATATTAAATTTCAAAACTGTAAAAACATCGAGAATCCTAGTGATGCTTATGTCAGAGCACAAAAGTGTACATTAAATCACAGTGTAAAACAAAAAGTATTCTGATTATCAGAGTAAAGATGTTCATGTGGAAAAACTAGAAAATAAAAGTCAAGGAAGAAATTTTAAAATCCCCTGTAATTCTCTAACCAGAATTAATCAAGCCTACATTCCTTTTTTGGGGGCGCGCCACATGGTTTGCGGGATCCTAGTTCCCCAACCTTGACCAGGGATCGAGCCCAGGCCCTTGGCAGTGAAAGTGTGGAGTCCTAACCACTAGACCGCCAAGGAATTCCCCTAACATTCCTTACTGTCCTTTTCCTGAGAGTATTTTTATATGGTTGAGACGTATGTGTGTGTTTAGATCCTTTTTTTTTTCCCCCTTCAACATTAGAACATGCTAATAAAAGTGCCTGATGAGCAGCTTGGTTGGCTACTTCATCAATGCTATGAATAAATAGTCATTTGGCTAACTGCACACTTAAGCATTTAGATTATATACAGTTCCTGGTTTTTAAAAATAATGCCACTTAATACATCCATACATAGAGAGGGTATTCCCCTCCCTCACCCTTGTGTTTTAAGGCTTGTTGTGGAACATGCTCAGGAGTGGGTGTTTTCCATGAACCGCCAGGTCCTTCACCCCTGAGGCAGAGCCAGAGCTGGGCAAATCATTGTGCACACCTTGGCTCTAGCACTTACCAGCTAAGAGGTCACTGAGCCTCAGTGTTGCCATTTGCAAAATGGGACTAATCATACCTATTCATGGGGTAATAGAACAACTGTGAGCACTGAATAGGAAAATGTATGTGTGTGGGGGGGAATTAGCATATCTCATGCAAGTAGCTTCATTCGTTGACCATTTTCTGTGATAATCTGATTAATCTTTAGAGCAGTGCTGATATGATACATGTTCAATAAATGTTTAAATTGAAGGGAAAAATACACCCTTGGAATGCTAGATACAATATGAAAATGACACGTAGAGGAAGTGAGGACTCTTTCCCAATACTTCTGAACATACTCTGCTAGACAAAGTACACAGGTTATTTT